GTCTTAGTATGCTGATGCCTTAAGAGTTCCATTCACTGGAACTAAGGGCCCAACCTCTGCAAAACAACCCCACACCATAATCCCCCCTCCATCAAACTTTACACTTGGCACAATGCAGCCAGGCAAGTACCATAGCGTGACTGTCAGTCACCGCTCTGTGCTCTTCCCCCCCAGTGCTAACAGGAGCCCTGGGCTGTGGAGGGGGAGGGAGCTGCTGGCTCAGGCTAAAGCAGCTTGCTGAGAGGCTGAGCCAGGTGCCACTCCAGACTCTGGGTTGGATCCTGACTTTAAAGTCAGGATCTTTCCCGAGCCTTAACCGGGTCAAAACAGGTCACAGGACTGCAGAACAAACTGTACTCCTGTGATCCACAGGAGAAGTACAGCCAAAAGAGCTTTAAAGCTTTAAGTCTTTCACTTTCAGAACATCCAAAACCAGTCCATCTGAGGGGTGAGCAACACAGTAAACAAATGGCAACAGGTCGAAGGAAACAGAGAACTAGGAACTGCCTACAGCTCAATGAGCCACCTGAAGGACCTTATGCTTGAAGCTGGCATCCAGATGAGGATGCAACATCCACCTGGTAGAACTTAGAGAATGTAGTAACAAAAAGCTAGGTGGCACACAAACACTGGATTAGAAGGAGGTTGAATTATAGGATACCTGTACTATATAATGTCCTGGGGGCATCATCCCAAACAATGTAAACTTTAATGCAAACAAATTAAATGGACTATGAACATGCTACTCAGGAGATCATGCATAATACCTAAAGCATAACAAGAAATATCCATTGATTCTCAGGTTTTTTTAAATTTATTATACAGTGAAATGTAAGAGTGCTTGGTCCAAAACAGCTTTTAATACATAGTTTAAATCTGAAAAGCAAAAAGAGCAAAAGTAAAGAGTCTGCATCCTAACACAACTGTGTCATGTCAACACATTGCTCGGGAACCACTTCATCAGGACTTGGATGCATGATGTAAATCTTCAGTATACCATGACAGTATACTAAAAAGACAGAGCTACAATATAGACCTCATTTTATGCAAACATATATACGTTCAAAAATATTCTATAAAAAAAAAATAGTAAAACCATATACACTGTTGAAAACACTGTCAACCATGCATACCCTCAGTCCAAAATAGTTGCCTACACATAAAAGCCCAAAGAGAGTATGCACATTTGGTCTGAAGAGGCTTTATAGTCTCCCCTGGCCTGTGGAGAGGCCCTGGAAGCACAGACTAAAAAGAGGGACAGTTACTAGTGGTCTAAAAAAATAAATATAAGTAATAAAATATAACAAAGAAATGAAATGGGGAAATAGAATCTACTCGTAATGAATACCCAGATCTCCAACTGCTACTAATATATAAATCATCATTTATGTCCTAAATGATAATCAAAGGAGTTGTCCATGCAGGAGATATAACCCCCAATAATCGCATCAATGGACAAACAATACAACCATCCTACAATAAGTAAACAAAAGAGTGAAGTAAACCAGAGCCTAAAAACTATCCCACACTCCATTGAGTTACCAAGTAGGCAGAGACAAAACTCCCAATATAAACTATACACTTAAAGAATTTGTAAACCCAACATTTCATGTTCCTGATATGTGCTTGATCTACCATATACTTCAGTGGTCCCCAAACTGTGGCCCTTTGCTTTCCTTTAACTGGCCCTTGGGTCATCATTCCTGCTATTGATACGAGACGCTTTTCATGCTACTCACACCAATAGTGAGGTAACATTCCTTCCCGATACCAACAATGGGGCATAATTCCTCCCATTATTCAACAATGACGCACCATTATGTCCACTTACACCAACAATGGGACATAACTTCTCCCATTGATACCAATGATGGGGCACTATTCCTCCCATTGACACCAAGAGTGGGGCACTGTTCCTTCCACTGACACCAAAAATGGGGCATTACTCCTTCCACTAATACTAATGTTGAAGCAATATTTCTGTTCCTTTCTGACCTTAGACACTCCCACCAAGACTGAGGCATTGTTACTCCCCTGACACCAGAGCATTTTCTACTTCCGCTAGTCACAGTCCAGCCCCTTAAAGTCTGAAGGACTATAAACTGGCTGTTTGTTTAGAAAGTTTGGAGACACCTGATGTATTTCTGGGAAAAAAGTATCCTATTCTTTCTACTGTATTGCTTCTGTTGTGTGAAATCCCTGATGTTTCTGCCAGTCCCTCTGTTTTCCTGTTAAAAACTAACCACACTAGGCATGAGAGCACAGCATGGTCAGTTCTCTATTTGTGCGGGGAACTCCGTCTGCTCTCCTCCAATGATCACCTGACACCCCCACCTGCACAGCTATTCACTGGGAAGATCAGGGTACTGCTGTTTCTCCTCCCTCAGCTATTATGCAGCTGAGAACAGAGGGAATGTGATCACTTATTAAAAAAAGGGAAAAAGGTATTTAGAATTTTTTTTAATATGTAAACTCAAATATTTTACCTTTCATTTTTATTTTAAAATGAATGGGTTTACATATCTTTTAAGTAGTTGGGTTAATATATAGAGTTTTAATGACACATGTTGCAAAACTGTGTTCAGGCATTAGGATTTGTTTTGCCCTCCATCATGAAGGGGTTCATATGTTTGGCCCTCTAATGCTAACCACCAACCTACACTATATTGACAAAAGTATTGGGACAGCCCTCCAAATCATTGTATTGGTGTTCCAATCACCTCCATGGTCACAGGTATATAAAATCAAGCACCTAGGCATGCAGACTTCTTCTACAAACATTTGTGAAAGAATGGGTCACTCTCAGGAGCTCAGTGAATTCAAGCGTGGTACTGTGATAGGTTGTCACCTGTACAATAAGTCCATCTGTGAAATTTCCTTGCTACTAAATATTCCACGGTCAACCTTGTTAGTGGTATTATAACAAAGTGGAAGCAAATTGGAACAATGGCACCTCAGCCACAAAGTGATAGTCCATGTAAAATGACAGAGCCGGGGAAGTGCGCAGAAGTCACTGTTTGCAGAGTCAATAGCTAAAGTCCTCCAAACTTTGTGTGGCCTTCAGATTAGCACAACAGTGTGTAGAGAGATTCATGGAATAGGTTTCCATGGCCGAGCAGCTGTATCCAAGCCTTACATCATCAAGTGCAATGCAAAGCGTCGGATACAGTGGTGTAAAGCACACCGCCACTGGACTCTAGAGCAGTGGTGATGTGTTCTCTGGAGTGACAAATCACTGTTCTCTGTCTGGCAAACCGATGGATGTGTCTGGGTTTGGCGGTTGCCAGAACGGTACTTCTCTGACTGCACTCTGCCAAGTGTAAAGTTTGGTGGAGGGAGGATTATGGTGTGGGGTTGTTTTTCAGGGGCTGGGCTTGGCCCCTTAGTTCCAGTGAAGAGAACTCTTAAGGTGTCAGCATACCAAGACATTTTGGACAATTTCATACTCCCAACTTTGTGGGAACAGTTTGCGGATGGCCCCTTCCTGTTCCAACATGACTGCGCACCAGTGCAAAAAGTAAGGTCCATAAAGATATGGATGAGCGAGTTTGGGGTGGAGGACCTTGACTGGCCTGCACAGAGTCCTGACCTCAACCCGATAGAACACCTTTGGGATGAATTAGAGCGGAGACTGCACGCCAGGCCTTCTCATCCGACATCATTGCCTGACCTCACAAATGTGCTTCTGGAAGAATGATCAAACATTCCCATAGACACACTCCTAAACCTTGTGGACAGCCTTCTCAGAAGAGCTGAAGCTGTTATAGCTGCAAAGGGTGGGCCAACTCAATATTGAACCCTACAGACTAAGACTGGGATGCCATTAAAGTTCATGTGTGAGTAAAGGCAGGCGTCCCAATACTTTTGGCAATATAGTGTATATATTCTACTGTCTTTCCTACTATTCATCTAAACATGCTTGGCCCTCTCATATCATGTGTGATACTACCCTGGGGAAGCAGAGTTATGACAGAGTTTTGCATGTGTGTGAAAGCAGAATTGTTCTTATCTAAATATACATTCACCGGACACTTTATTAGGTACACCTATTCAATTGCTTACTACCACAAATTGCTAATCAGCCAATCACATGGCAGCAACTCAATGCATTTAGGCATCTATACGTGGTGAAGATGACTTTCTGCAGTTTAAAACCAAGCATCAGAATGGGGAAGAAAGGGGATTTAAGTGACTTTGAATGTGGCATGGTTGTTGGTGCCAGAAGGGCTGGTCTGAATATTTCAAAAACTGCTGATCTGCTGGGATTTTCACACACAACCATCTCTAGGGTTACAGAATGGTCCGAAACAGAGAAAATATCCAGTGAGTTGCAGTTATGTGGATGAGAATGCCTTGATGTCAGAGTAGAATGGGCAGACTGGTTGCTGCGACATTCAGATGGTAGGGTCAGAATCTGGTGTAAACAACATGAAAGCATGGATCCATCCTTCCTGGTATCAATGGTTCAGGCTGCTGGTGGTGGTGTAATGGTGTAGGGGAGATTTTATGGTGCACCTAATAAAGTGGGCAGAAACTGTAATCAATTCAATTAAAGTGACACATTAGAATGAAAAATCAATATAGAATTGTTAGTAATGATTCCTTCACGTTTGTCTGTGTGTAAGGGGGGTGGTAAAAAAAAAGCATATATAGTACATTTCCTTCTACCGATTTATAGCACATCTGACTAGTGAACTAGTGGTTCCATATGGAGAAGACAACAGCACTGTGTCCGCAGCACCTAATCCTCGCACTAAGCACAGCCACTTCCGCCCGGAGTAGCGCACAGTTACATCCGCCCCCTAACTCTCGTACAGCGTATACGAGACTGCGCTAGACCCCGCCTAAGACCTCCTCGAGCCCCGGCCTCTTCAAACCAGAGGAAGTGACGTTCGGCGCATCAGATCCGTGGAGCCGCCAGGGCTGAGTGAGCGCCTTCCGGGAAGTGTGTGCTGAGTGCGGCTTATACGGGGCCGTGGTGTGTACACGGAGCGAGCAGGATGAGACGCAGTAAAGCGGACCTACAGAAATACATCGACAATGTCCAGAGCAGCGTCTCCTCTCCGCGGGAGGTAAGGCACACCCCCCGGCCTTCTCCCGGCATACACTACACTGCCAGGCTCAGAGCCCTCATACCGAGACTGTACACCTCTATGGGGACTCATTGTACACAGGCAGTGCCTCTTTTATCCCCAGGGGGCTCTGAGCACGTGGGGCCCAGCTCAGGGGTCTAGTGTTTATTAACCACTTCCCTACCAGGCACTTTCACCCCCTTCCTGCCCAGGCCAATTTTCAGCTTTCAGTGCTGTTGCACTTTGAGTGATAATTGCGCGGTCATGCAGCACTGTACCCATGTGACATTTGTACTTTTTTCACACAAGTAGTGCTTTCTTTTAGTGTTATTTAATCAACACTGGGTGTTTTATTTTTTGCACTATAAATGAAAGAGCAAAAATTTAAAAAAAAGTTTTTGTTTCTATTATACAATTTTAAAAACAGGTAATTTTTCTTCTTCACTGATGTGCATTGATGAGGTGGCACTGATAGGCTGCACTGATGGGAACTATCAGTGCAGTCCCAAAAGTGCCCAGCAGTGGCACCCATCAGTGCCTAGTAGTGTCACCCATCGGTGCCACATCAACACCAATGATGCTGCACACTGATGGGCGCCACTGCTGGGCACTTTTGGGACTGCACTGATTATCAGTGCGGATGTCCTCTGTGACAATTGCTGGTTATCGGCAGTACTTTCTTCATGCTGTGACAGCTTGAGGAAAGTGCTTCCGATAATCGGCAACTGTATTTACTTTGTGATTGGACACAGCTGATCATGTGGTAAAAGGCCACTGTGATTGGCCTTTTACCTTGTCATGTGATCAGCTGAGTCCAAAGGACACAGCAATCACAGACAGCTCCAGGGGTGGGCCGTGGGGGGCGCACTCTGGGAGGTCTTCAAATGAGCCCTCCCATAACTGGACAACGCTCTGTAGCCGTCATTCGGCTATAGCCTGGTTGGCAAGTGGTTAAAGATCTGCTGTAGCTGTAATAAAAGTGACAATGAAAGGTGACGCTGCATAGAAGACAGGGGACCCTCTGCTCTCCTCCTGCCTGCTGTGCCCTAAAGTAGTGATTCATCAGAGGCATAGAGGGAATTATCCCCAGAGCTTAGAGAATGAGGCAAATCTGCTGACTTCCATTAGCCAGTCCTGTACAAACAAAAATCCTGTGTTCTTACCCTTGCATGTGATTGGGTGTTTTTTGAAAAGAGAAATTTCCCCACAATAAAGTGTAACTAAAAGCTAAACTGGTTTTTTTTTTTTTCCATTTTATATAGAATAAGGAAGGTTTATATCCCCTGTAAGATGTATTTTTTCTGTGTCCCATAGGGGAAATTTCCCTTCACTTCCCAAAACAGGAAGAGGAAATCCTTATGTCAACAAAACTCATGTCCCCACTGCAATATTTCCTTCTATTCCTGTTTCAGTGACAACCAAAATTTATGATTTTCTTTTATTTTCACTTTTGATGTTAGTGTTACTAAACCCACAACAGTACAATCAGTCTGTATATGCAGTAAAGCATGCTTGTTATACTCACTGTGGAACCTCAGGGGTTAATCTGCATTGTGTAAAAACTAGGAGTGCACTGAAATTTCGGTGGCTGAAATGTTTCAGACGATATGAAAATAAGCACCGATACAGGTGTCGTGAACATGCGCACCAGAGGCAGGATGCAGCCTCCATTTTGTTAAGAATCTCCATATTCTCCCCTCATACATTTCCCCTTTCCTCTTTGTTAATCCACAGGGACATATGTGTGTTGGAAGGGTCACAGGCAGGCTAGGGCACAGCAGGGAACCCCAGAGCTATAAAACATCTCTGAGCAAGGTGCCTGGCTGTGTGAGCGGAGCTGTGCCATATAACACCTCGTATAAGATAAGGCAAGCTTTCCCAGGAGTTCAAAAGACATTCCAAGAAAACACGACCAGCTAACCATTTTAAAAATTCATTTTTCCCCTATGTCTCATATCTTCGAATATGAGAGGCTTACATAAAAACCAGACATATAGTCAGATTGGCTAAGAGGAGACGAACATTTTGGTAGGTCACTCGCCTTGTCTCGAATACATTAGGAATTAATTAGGAAAGCCGAAAAGTAGATCTCGTGAACCGTGTTCAGTGTATAATTTCATAATTAATATCTAATCAATCCTCAGACGTGTCTGCATAATAATTTACCCGCGGGTGGAATGTCACTTGTGCAGATGGAAAGTTATGGGCCAAAATATGAGTTGAGAGATTTTGGCTCTAGTTGAGGTATCCGCCCAGACCTCCACGCCCTAAACAGGTTATTGGTCCTTGGCTTTAGAGACACCCCCTGCTGGGGGACTAGAAAATGGGCCGTCAGGCCTAAGAGAGTTAAGTTGAAGAAGTCTCCCATTTTAACATCAGAACCACCTGGGGAGACCCATACCCTTTCGCTCTTGAAACTTGATCTGCAAACCCAAGGCTGATTGGCAAGTACTTTAACCTTTTAACCTCCTTTCTATTATCTCTTTACTGTGCTGTTGTTCTCTGTATATTTATATATATCTTCGTTACATCTTTTTCTGTAAATATTTTTATTGCACCCGTTTGAACTTTTAGTAATAACTCTTTCCTTCTGAAAGTGTTGAACTGTTTCTATAGCTCTTTATTGCAATTTATGAATTTCTGCCTCTAAAGAGAACACTACTGTGTTTGTTTAACCCTCTATATAACCGGCCTGCGGTGACCGTTTTATACAGACGATTATCTCAACCATTATGGTGTTATAGCTGATATCGCCGAGTTTCCTCTTTCTCTGTACAAAAAGGAGGTGGTGGCAGTGTGAGGGGTTAATTGTGTAATTAACCTGACACAGTAACAATCGCATTCAGGCTGCCGGTGCATCGATTGTGGTCCAATTAGCTGGAAAATCGTTGTGCAGGGTGCCGCTGAGTGTGGCATTGTTACGCACATGACATCGCGGTTTTAGATTGGCTAGTCCTTCGGTCACGAGTTTGGTGAGAAGGGCTGGGGTGTGACACCGCGGTTGTCACATATTGGTGACAGCGATCCCGCGTCCGTCACAACAGGTACCAAAAATAACCCTGCCCGCCGCTGCGACCCCTTGCCGCGACCCCTTGCCACCACCCGCCACCGCTAGGTAGTTCTCAGCCTTACCTGAGAAACCATTGAACGATCTTGGCGTTGGGCATAGAGATTAGTGAAGGAAAGATGGCCTCCACTCATCTCTATGCTCTTGGAGGACCGGAGCGATGTCACTTTTTTTTTTTTTTTTAAAGCACTAGATCAATGATTTTTTTGATCTAATGATTCACATTGTAGAGGATCTTATTGACCCCATATCTCTCCATGAAGTGGACCTGTCACTAATTATTCCTATCACAAGGGATGCATGCATAGTATATGTCTGAGTGGCCTTGGATTGTAAGCTCCTTGACATTTATGAATGTACAAAATATGGAGATCAATTTGCCGGGTTTGTCAGTGCCAAGAATCCTTGATCAATCAATTAGATTTTGGCTACTGAATAGAAAGTGAAAAGGGAGTGAATCTTACCTGAGTCTTGTTCTTTGACAAGTTTGATTTTCCTTCTGTTTATATTTCATTACAACTTTGTTTATCTTCTCTAAGGCTATGTTCACACTAGCTTTGTTAGCAGGCATCAACAGGAGTTTGGGAGGCTTTTTTAATGCTTCTCAAAGGCCTATGAAAATTCTGCACATGGCAGCACAGTGCTGTTCACACTGAAGCGTTAGCGTAGCGTCACAGCAAAACTGGCGCCTCATGTAGAGTCAGGAGTTGAAGCCTCCTATTCGAGTCTATGGTGCCACTCAAACGCCTGGCACGTGTTTTGCGGTGCAGTTGCGACGTGGTTGCGAGGCGTTTTCGGAGCGTTAATGCAGTTTTAAAAAAGCTTCAAATGCTTCAAAACCACGCATAGGGCGTTTGTGGAGCATTAAAAAAGCTTGTCAAACGCTATAGGGTGAACGAACCCTTAAACCTCTTTCCTTATACAACTTGACCCCCATCCCCTCCTCCCATACCCCCCCCCCCGTCCCCCGTCATCACCTGTTCCATCTGCAAATCTATGTATCACTGCCCCACTTTTTTTATTTAACTATTTATTTACTAATCAAGTTAATGTGTCTCACTTCCTATCACCTCCAGCTCAGACCTCGCATTATTATATGATTTCTGATTGTATCTCACCACTAATCTGATTGAATTCACAATTCCTGGTCAGTCCCGTTACCCCTTACCTATAATAACCTTTAGGGCCAGTTCACACTACATGTGTTTTCAGTTCCATTTTCGGCATCCAAAATGCACAGAAAGGTGGTTATATGGTTGTCAATGTCATAGTTCACATCAGCGCTTGCAGTTCCAGTGCGTTGCAGGTGCTGCCAAAAAAGTCTAACAAGCTGCATTGTTTATGCATAGAACTGTACTTGGATGTGGTAAAACACCCTGGAATGCACTAAAACGCACATGTCTCTAATTAAATTGAAGAAAAAGAGAGGAAACAACTGGAATGCATAAAAAAAAAAATGCACTGGAACACATCAAAAACGCATCCAAAATGCTCTGGAACATGCATAAAAAAGTGCATGCAAAATTCATCTGGAACACATCTAGACTGCATTTATATAGTGTGAACTGGCCCTTAGGACTTGTTCACACCATTTGTGGTGCACAAACGCATGCAAGAACACACATTTCCTGCACAGCAAAGAAATGCAATGCTCTTTGCAGATGTGCGCAGGTACCATGATGAAAACTTAATTGCATCTCCACACGTCTAGTAAACACAGATGCATTCACAGCCACCAAAACACATGGCACCACACTACTGTGCGGTTAGGTGCAACACACTATTAAAATAATATGCCTGCAGTATTTTTGCATGTTCCCACACGTTAGGCAGCCCATTGAAATTAATTAGCTGGGGAAAAAAAAAGTAAAAAATGCCACATTCACACAGGTCCTCTGGCCTGTACATCATGAATGAGGGGGGTTGTTCATGT